AAAGATACAGTGACATATATCAGCACAGGGTGAGTGTGCAAAGGGTGCTGCAGGAAAGAGGAGGAAACATGATGGGGGTGGCATCTGTACAAAGGAAAGTTGAAAGAAAAGGCTGCAGAATAGGAGGGGATGGTGGCTTCATACTTGGGCGGAGGGTGAAAAGGGTGCTCAGTAGTTGCAAGGTGTGGGAGGAGGAATATACAGAAGCTCATCCGGGGGGGGGGTGTGGATGGTGTGCAAGAGGAGGCTGCACAAAAGGAGGAGGAGGGGAGGCATGGACATGGGGGGAAGAGGAAAATGGTTGCAAAGTGGGACTGCAGAACCGAAGTGGCTTCAAAAATAGGGTTGGGGACATGAAAAGGCGGTTTAGTAGCATGAAGGGAAATCTCTATGCAACATACAATTTGGCTGTTGCCCTTTTGCGTGTTCAGACCCAGAGACCTCCTCCCTAAATAAAGACACATCTGATTCAAATTTTAGTTTTGGTTTTTGGCAGAATTTAGGCCACAACTTTATTGATTACAGAAAAGTGAGTGGTTGCATGGGCTCTGGTTGGACTAGCTCCCTGCACCCTTGCAGCAGCCCTGACCCAGAGCTCTATCATAGGTCAGCCAAGGGTGAACACCTGAGGCAGGTGAAAAGCCTGGGAACAGACTCTGTTCACTCCCCAGATGCTCCCCTGGACTCAGGCATGGGCACAACCCCCTTTCAGAGGTTGACCAAAGCAAGTTGAGTCCCTGGATTCCTTTAACAGAATACCCTTCGCATAGGGATGGCGAGACCGTTCTCCCATCCCTATCACCTGAACCAGTGCCTATCCGCAACCTTACAAGTTGTGACGAATTGCTATGTGGCAGGCGAAACCCAAATGGCTACAGCCAATCAGCCAACTGGGGAAAATTCCTGTTGTGCCCCTGTCCCAACGACAGATGACACACGACGGCATAACAAAGTCAATCACAAAATGCCCTAAAATTAGGGAGAGGTGGGCGGGTGTTCCGATGCACGAGCTGAAAGAGGAAGCTCTAGGACACGTGCATGGGTTTATATATGTCCCTCGATCCGTTTAGGCTGCACCTCATTGGCAAGATTAAACCCAGCAATGAGGGTCCTACCAAATGGGTGTTGTGGCTATCCAATAGACCCACCCACAACAAGGAGGTCAGTCACCAGGTCTCACCGCAACATGTGCCCTCTTTCACGGAGGACACAATTTATATCTAGTTTGGCCCTTAGAAAGGATATCTCAGAGCTGGAAAGGTATAGAAAGGGGAAGCCAAAATGGTCCTTTGTTCTGATTCAACAAGGCTCCTCTTATCTTTCTGCATCTAACGAAGTAGGCTTTGGCCTTGTGAAAGCCAAAAGCTTATGCCTTGTGAAATCTGTTGGTCTTTAAGGTGCCACAAGACTTTTAGTTCATATTCCTGCGCTCTTTGATGCTCAGGGGAGTTCAGAAAATGTGCTCAGTATTGGTAATCTCCTGGAAGGGTGAGCTCTCTGAAGGAAAGGTGGTGTGTCCATGTGTCAGAATAATAATAGTAACTGTGGGGAACCCACCATGCCATTTTCTGGAAAGATGGCCAATATGCCTTGGGAGAACAGGGCTCCAGTACATTTGGTAAATATGTAGAAATGGGGGCTTCAGCACATGTGACTTTCCTTATTTCTACATGACAACATGCAAAATTCCCTCTTTTAGTACAGGAGCTCTGTCCTCCTTTGCCACTCTTCACTTTCCCATCTATAGCTCTTTAAATTGCACATCACTGATGCCATGGTTTCTGTGATAGGGGATTACAGTACTTCCCCCAAATTACCATCTTCTCATTCTGCATTAATTTCACTGAGACAGATGAAAGGGTTGTATCATCACTTCCATAGATTGCTAAGTAGGGCTGCAGAAATAAGTTTTTGGAAAAGACTGAATGATCCAAATTGGGTCAATTCAGATCTTGCTAAGGAAATTTGGAAAGCCAAGGAGCCTTCCTTGCTGTTGTATTCCTTTCATCCTCCACTGTCATATCACTACTGTAATCCCACCGCCATTTTGAATTCAAAATGTGCTGAATTTCTTTCCACTCCAGGGCTCCTAGAACAGATTAGACTTTACTCTTTTGCATCCAGCTCAAAGTGGAATTAAAACAGTGGTTCCAAACAGCACTTGATATAGTATTCTCCATTCTTAAGAAGCCCACCCACAATGTTCATTCCTATAGGCAAGAGTCTAAGCACATAGAAGTCCTATCTAATTCTAAATAAACAAAGGTCTCCTATTTGAAATCAGCTTTCTAAATTAATGATTTCTTGTTCTGGCAGCTGTAGGTCCCCTTGATTATTATAAGAATAAGAATAAGAATAAGAATTTATTATTTGTACCCCACCCATCTGGCTGGGTTTCCCCAGACACTCTGGGCGGCTTCCAACAAAAGATTAAAAATACATTAAAATGTCAGACATTAAAAACTTCCCTAAACAGGGCTGCCTTCAGATGTTGTCTAAACGTCAGATAGTTGTTTATCTCTTTGACTTTTGATGGGAGGGCATTCCACTGGGCGGGCGCCACTACCGAGAAGGTATTTTATTCATTTCCTCCTTGAAATCAGACCAGTGGTACCATTTGCTCACTCATAATTTACCATTTTTTATTAGTAGAATTGCACTTAAGTAAAGAAAGCATTCTTTTAAAAAAATCATCTGCTTCTGCTTAAAGTAATTTTTAAAAAGGCAAAACTCTGACTATGATGACATGTAGTATGATATTATTTTTTACAAAAAAATACTTGTAATGGTATTTACAATACCATTACAAAAAATATCATAGCAGTTTATAAAAAATTATATATACACGTTAAAATTACAAATCACCAGCCAACTATTATAGAAATCTTTTTTATTTGTTGTGTGCATGAGCCTGGCAGCATAGAAAGGTTTTCAGGAAATGTTCAAAGGTTAACATAGAAGATGCCTCCTGAATCTCTGTTGGAAGTGCCATTCTAATTCTCCATAATACCCTGGAGCAACACTACATTGGGTGCATTGGGGGAAATTGAAATGGTTCTACCTGCATCCAATGCTGATTCCAAGCACTGCTGTTGCTGCTCATTGATGCTAGAGACCACCAAGATAGAAGAAGAGTCTCTACAGGGCCTCCAGAAAGCCAGAGCTAGACCTATTTATGTGCTTGCATTAGGGATTTTATAATTATTTGAGCCTAGTGGAAGAAGTTGTAGTAGATGTCCTATTTAATATGTGGAACTTAAATTTGTAACCTCAGTGTGGCTGATTTTATTTTATTGCTGATGTTGGCACTTACTGTATTAAACTGTATGGAAATGTCAGTATATTCTGTCCCTAGTGAAATCTGCAAGGTGGGCTGGGAAAGCCAAGAGTTCGGGCAGGGAAGCAGAACCATGGACAGCTCCACATGGAGCTGGGAGGAATTCAGGTGAGGTGGATATGGGCATCCCAAAGCAGCAGACCATTGTGTTACTCCAGCAATGGTCTGGGCCCAACTGAAGATTTAATTGTATAGCAGAAGGATCAAATCTACTGGCACCACCACCACCTAGGGGGCCATTGCTGCTTAAAGCACCATGATAGATTCCTCAGGCAATAGCTGAGGAGACTTTGGCTCTGCCAGCATTTCAAAAATGGCAGCCTTGGAAGAGGACAGAACAACCTCCAGAGGATGTATAGATGGCAGCTCCTGGGATTCACCTCACCTGGAGGTCCCTGTCAGAGCAGTGTCTTCTGGAGTTTGCTCCAGTTGTAAGTTCTCCCTCCTCCTCAGCATCCTTAGACCCTCCTCTGGCCACTGCTCATGACACTGTTACACATATTTGTTATTGAACTTGTGTGTGTCCCTTTTAGATTTCGTGCTGGTTCATGCGTTCCCAATTCTGCTGCTCACAGTATGGAATCAAAACATCACAAGCTTCTGAAATGCTTTAATTAATTGCCTGTCTCTACAGCATCCTTATGTTTTTAACTCTCCCCTCACCGCCCGCCCAGGACTTCTCTGTGTGAGACAGGAACTGACACTAACACCTGCTCTCTCTGGATTTGTTTTTTACTAGGGACTTTATGACAATTATGAAGGGGGAAATATATTCCTAGGCAATGCAGCATTATAATTCCTGCCTACCATCTCCTCACCACCCCCTTGCAAGTCACCATACATCACTACTAGAAAAAATCTGGCTCGAGATATTTCTTGCTGCTTAACTTTGTGTTAGCTGGCTATGCATTCATTGCTCACAGACAGTGGTATTTCTAAAAGTAAGAATTCTGGGTGCGGGGGAGATATATTGGATATGGAGGAGACATTTGCTTCAGATTGGTTTTGCAGGCAACTCTGTTAAATCCACACTTTCGGTGGGGGGGAGGATGAACTAAAACACAGCTATCCTTCAGAATTTGCACTTATTCAGATTTCGCAATGCAGCTCTCCAAATAATGTTTACAAAATGCATCTATTAGGAGGAAATGTGCATCAAAAATGGGTGTATTTGTAAAATGCATTTACGTTAGGGAAAACTGCTTGCAAACATGTATACATTAGACAAAATTATATAAAAATGTGTCTGTTAGGATAAATTCACACTAAAAGGCTGCTGAATTGCTAAGGTTTTCTTAAGAAAAAAATGCAAATTTCTGAAGAAATGTGGCAAACTGAACAAGATTGGAAAAATAATATATTCAACAGCTTCACAAAGCAAAATGGGAAAATGTGTATGTTAGGAATAGAAGGATCTGTCAATTTCTGTTTATTTTTCCAATCTTGTTCAGTTTGCCATACATCATTGTGACAAAAGTGGCACATTATAGCTAGGAGATGTGTCATACTCCTTTTGGCCGCTTGCTGACTATGTCTCTAGAATATATCAGACCTTTGCAGGAGACCTCCCTCTGAATAAATCCTGAATTACTAGGCCTATATATATATATATATATATATATATATATATAGTATGATGGAATAGAAAAAAACATAGAAAATAATCCTGAACTGTGGGGGGACCCCATATTTATTTATTTATTCATTCATGTAGGTATTATATACACTTTGCATCAACAAAAATGATCTCAGGTCAGTATACAATAAAATACAATAAAAATACAATAAAAACAACAGTAAAATTGCAACATTGTTAAAACAGCAGTATGTGAACCAAAAAACCAAAAGGCCTGGCAGAATGAAAAATATCTGTGTGGTGTCTCGAGGATGACAAAGAAAGTGCTAGGCAGGCTTCTCTAGGAAAGGAGTGCCATAATCAGGGTGCAACAATACGACAGATTATATAAAATATGGAAATGATCAGGGATTAGATCTGGGAGGGATAAGAGCATAGAAAATGATCATATATTGGTCTGTCTAGCTAAGCATTGTCTACACAGACTGGCAGAAACTCTCCATGGTTTCAGGAAGTGCCAGAAATTGAACCTGGGACCTTCTGCTTCCAAGACGTATGCTCTACCACTGAGCTATCATCATTCCCTTTGGTGTGCCCTGTAAAAGGTAAAGGTAAAGGGACCCCTGACCATTAGTTCCAGTCGTGGCCAACTCTGGGGTTGCGGTGCTCATCTCGCTTTACTGGCCGAGGGAGCCGATGTACAGCTTCCGGGTCATGTGGCCAGCATGACTAAGCCTCTTCTGGCGAACCAGAGCAGCGCATGGAAACGCCGTTTACCTTCCCGCTGGAGTGGTACCTATTTATCTACTTGCACTTTGACGTGCTTTTGAACTGCTAGGTTGGCAGGCGCAGGGACAAAGCAACGGGAGCTCACCCCGTCGCGCGGATTCGAACCGCCAACCTTCTGATTGGCAAGCCCTAGGCTCTGTGGTTTAACCCACAGCTAGCTAAAATTGAAATTATTGAATGAGCTGACGTCTTATAATAATTATAAATAAAGAATACGAAAGCAATTAAGACGAAAGGCAGCAGTCCATGGCCTGTGTTCACTCGGCTTTGCTTGACTGGAGGAAGGCATTCCAAACTATGTTGTTTCAGAAACTATATTTCCCGGTCCACAGGTAGTAATAATAGTGAGCTGGTGGTTCGACATTGTTTGATTATTGATTATTTAATTTCTATACTGCATAGTTTATTAAAGATATCTCTAAGCGGTGTACAGAAAACAGAAGCAATAACAGACAAGTTAAATAAAATATTGCAAAAATACACAGTAACATATAAAAATGGTACATTAATGCAAAGTTACTGAGATATATATAAATCAATATCAATTCATTTTCTTTCTGACATGCTGAAGTCTAGCTGGTCATGAGCTGAGGACTAGATATGCTCATTGTGGTTCTGTGGACTTTTTTTTCCTGTCCACATAGTGAATGATGTTCTTCACCCAGGGACGTTCAAGTTTCACACAGACCCTGGAACCATCTCTTAATGTTAATCTGCAAGACAACAAAAGGCAAGCCAGTGCAAATAAGTTATGTGGCTTATATTCTTGTTTATAGTCCAAAACATCTGGAGGGTACCAGGTGAGGGAAGGCTATTCTACCTGTAGCTTGAATGCATGTTTGTCACATTATGGGGGAAAGCAGCTTTGTGTGGGGATGTGCTTGCAAGGGGAAAGTGGTCTTAAAAATATAATGCTGGTCTAAATGAACTTTAGTCCGGCTCAGCAAGGTCTAGTTTTAGTTTTTCTTATGTTCTTTCTCTGAGACCTTGAACATTTCCATGCATATATGGCAGCCATTCAAGATGCTTGAACATTATGGGAACTACAACTCCCATGATGCCTAGCCACCACAGATACATGGCACATGCAAAGGTGGAACCAATGCTTGCGTTATGAGGTAATCACCCTCCTGAGTCTTCTCTATCACACATATATACACTGCTCTAATATTACCTATTATTAACCCTTTGTTTTTCCTCATGGAATGAATCCCCTCCCCAGCTTACTTGCTACTTTACAGTTGAAGACTAGACAATATACCCTAGCGTTACATTGCAGAAGAGAGCTGTGATCGTATGAGATAAGCTGATGTTAGCAATCACTGCTTAAGTGCGCTAGGATAAGTGCTAACAAGGCCTGGACCTGATCTTTATAATATAAGATTGATTTATAACTATACTTGTAAGAGTTAATAAGAATCTGTATAAAGGTAAAGGGACCCCTGACCATTAGGTCCAGTCATGACCAACTCTGGGGTTGCGGCGCTCATCTCGCTTTATTGGCCAAGGGAGCCGGCGTACAAGGGAGCCGGTCATGTGGCCAGCATGACTAAGCCGCTTCTGGCAAACCAGAGCAGCGCATGAAAACGCCATTTACCTTCCCGCCGGAGCAGTACCTATTTATCTACTTGCACTTTGACGTGCTTTCGAACTGCTAGGTTGGCAGGAGCAGGGACCGAGCAACGGGAGCTCACCCCGTCGCGGGGATTCGAACCTCCGACCTTCTGATCGGCATGTCCTAGTCTCTGTGGTTTAACCCACAGCGCCACCCGCGTCCCTTTAAGAATCTGTATAGTCAGCACTTATTTAGTAGGAATTAGTGAAATGTCACATGCCTGGTAAACATTTTGGAGGAAGGGACTATTTGATTTATAGAGGTAAGCCCCGAGTAAGGTCCCATGGTTGGGTCACTGGTGTTGAATGCTTGCCTATCCTTTAAGTGCATTCTAGGATGGCATGAGAGTCTGCCATTCGCCACTCAGCTGTCCCCCTTTTGATGTTCATAAGAATTCCTCTGGCTGTATATGACCTAAATCATTATAAGGCCACAAGAATATGCCAAAATAATAGCAAACAGATACTCACATCGCGTCTTTCGCTAGTCCATGTTCCAGCTTCTCGTAATCAACAACTCTTTGCTTCTTGATTGGTTTTTCATGATACCCCTCACAGACACTTCGTGGCCTGGTCTGAGACCCAAGGCTTCCTTAAAAAGACATAAAATAGGAGGGGGGAAATGAAGCTTTCACTTTTATTTTATTTTTTGTTTTCCTTAAAGTATAATCCCACCATGTGATGTGCAATCCATTGCAGATTACCAGTCTGGAAGAGGAAGTTTGAAATTGCATCAAGAAGCAGAGAGGTGGTTCATGTTCTCATCAGAGTATGTTGCTCAGTATCAGCTATGCCCAGAACCCTTTTTGTTGAATATAAGGGAGCTCTGGACCCAGCTGAAAGAACAGAAAGCACCTGGCACACGTTTAAAGGGGCAAACAGGTTGTCATGGTCAAGGGTCTGGAAACCAAGCCGTATGAGGAATTGTAGAGTTGGGATCCCTGCCAACTCTACAATTCTATGATTCTATGATTCTATGATCACAACAAAAATGTGGATAATAAGAACAACAGAATGTGATTGTATCTTCCACAAAGATGGAAATGCTTCAGGGATGCAACACAATCAGTAGACAGTTGCCACACCTGGAATCAACAAATATGTCAATTTTGGTTTTGCTTAGTTTCTAATTTTTCCAGTCTTAAGTTCAGTCTTCTACATTTCTATAGCAGTTTGCTTTTTTTTTAAAGTTCTCATGAAAATTCGCCATCACTTTAAGGATAATTTCTCATATTATGCACATTTACTATGTGGTTTTGCCTAATATACACATCTTGCAAACCTATTTTCCCCAACAAAACATATTTTTGTATGTTGTTTTTGCTAATATAGGCATTTTATGCACACTTTATCCCAGCATGTCCATTTTTGCACTGCATCGGGGAACTGCATTGCAAAAATCCAGAGTATTTCAAAGGGTGTCTTTTTCACTTGACCTATTGAATTGGAATGTGCAAATTAGGGAGGCTCTCCTTTATATTTGAAGCAAATTTAACTTCTCCCCATCTCCACCTGCACACACATATGTTATACTTTAACATCATCCATAAAACAAGACCTTGTATCTGTTTCGGGAACTGGATACACAATAAAATGGATTAGGGTTCTGGCAGCACTGAAAGCTGTTTTGCCACTATCTAAAACAATGTAAGGATTTTACCCCAAATAGCAATTTGGATGCTGCTGCTGAATAGAAAAATAAAATCACACACATACCTCTTATAATGCATACACTGAAGAGCTCAAGGAAAGCAATGGCAAGAATGGCTGCCATATAGAATTTCATGGTTGGACCTTTCCTCAGGTGATGAGAGTGCAAGTAACTCAAGACTCCCTTCACCAGACCTTTATAGGTCACTGGACATTTCCTGTGCAAGTGGCGTAATGGGGAGGATGAGAGGCAGATGATCATTTTTGTCCAACAAAACTTTTCTGTGCTGTCACTCTCCGGAAGCTTTTTTCCTGTTACGATATGGTCACTTTCTAACATTTCACTGGTTAGTATTATTTCAGGCACAGAAAAAAAGTGTGGTGGAAACCGACCCAGTGACATCACTAAGCTGTATGTAAAGCCACATAAACCAGAGTGAAAACTCAGCTCAGAAAGCCAGCTCATATAAACAGATGACCTATGGTGGGACTAGGAAACCCCAGACCTGAAAGATAAATGCATCCCACCAAGGCTCTCAGGATAGTCCCTAAGGTCACACCCCTTACCTGCCCTGCTCTGCTTCCTTTGGGTGCTTTTGGATGGCTGGACCATGTCCTTGATAATCTGATAATGATAGAATGCAAGTCACAGGAAACAGTGGTGTCTTCATGAAATATGGTTTTATTCACACCTTTAAACGGACTGTGTGCAAGATGGAAGGGTGTGCAGCATTAACACTTCAACAGAGTTTGTTCTCCCATTAGATACCTAGGTGGTTGCCCAATGCCACTGGATTATCACAGAACAGAATTGGGCCCCTGTATGTTCCCAGCTTCAGCTGCAAGTTGAGATTGGTCCCAGGTCTATTGTTCTCCTACACAGCAGTAAGGAACCTATATCAGCTCAAGGGCTGCATTCCCTTCTGGGTGGAGAAATGAATTTAAATTGTATGTTTCTATAGTAGGCTAGTTTCTACATGCACATAAAAATGCACACCTGTCCTCCATCCAGGCAAGAATGAGGCATGATCAGAGTTCAAGGACACATTCCAGTCAGGTAAAAGCTCATCTTTTGGAAGCATCTCCAGCGACTAGTTTCTGTGGCAGCCAGTCACCTATAGTCCAAAAGATACAACGGACTTTTTGAAAGCCATTAACTTAACAAAGAGGTTTGTTTTGATCATTTTAGCAGTCTCATTTTCTACAGAATCTCATCCTACAGGTGTAAAACAACAGGATTGGAGGGGACACCGAAGATGACAACCAGGTTAACTCCCAATCCCATGATAATATAATAATCACACACACACACACACACACACACACACACATACAGAGTTAAGTCCAGTCAAAGGCGACTACAGTGGTACCTCTCAAGACGAATGCCTCGCAAGACAAAAAACTCGCTAGACGAAAGGGTTTTTTGTTTTTTGAGCTGCTTCGCAAGACGATTTTCCCTATGGGCTTGCTTCGCAAGACGGAAACGTCTTGCAAGTTTGTTTCCTTTTTCTTAACACTGTTAATACAGTTGCGACTTGACTTCGAGGAGCAACTCATAGAACGCGGTGTGGTAGCCTTTTTTGAGGTTTTTAAAGACTTTGGTGATTTTTGAAGCTTTTCCAAAACTTTCCTGACACCGTGCTTCGCAAGACGAAAAAAATCGCAAGATGACAAAACTCACGGAACGAATTAATTTCGTCTTGCGAGGCACCACTGTATAGGGTGCAGCGCTCATCTCGCTTTCAGGCCGAGGGAACCAGTGTGTGATGGCCTGGGAAT